CCTTTCCTCGGTTTGCACTAGGTGGGCAGAACCACACCATCCGAAAAAAAATATAAAAACAAAAAACAAAATTAAAAAAAAAAAAAAAAAAAAAAAAAAAAAAAAAAAAAAAAAAAAAAAAACTAGCTATAGTGAACAATCAGAGTAAATAGACGATACTCTGTGCAATCGGACATGATCAATGCACATATGGTGATTAATACTGACCCTTTCCTTGACACGGCTGATAATGAGCAGGAGCCTTGGTTTCCGGGAAAGCCAATGACGGGGCAATGGCCCGACAGTGCCATTCCCAAGTCCGTCCAGCTTGACGTTGTGATAGAAATGAAGAGAATAGATGCACGCCATAAACCATAAGATGTATTATAGCCGATGCCCAGCGACGAGTACTGATTTTTTTCAATGAAACTCGACAATGTTACCCCGAGCTACTCTGTTGGCTCTAGAAAAGTGTTTGTGGCTGAGCAACAGCACGAGTGCACTAGTAGGTCTGTTATGTTCAGAAATGAGATAAGTACGTGCGTGGGGGTATAACAAAGTAGTCTGTATCCAAAATTGAAAGGTAGCGAACGTGTTTACGACGTAAGTTGGTTCGGTTGCATCTCGGGTGATAATCACGCTATACTTTTAGAACGGAGCCCGTTCATGTGCCCCGGAGGCCAGCTATACAGGGTATTGATCAGACTCCAACGATCCACGGGTATTCGTTCTGAGAGGAGGTTGATTCTGTTTCTTCCAAGCGCTCTCATAAGATTAGGTACCGGCCATCAGAAGACACTACATACCATATCTTCGTCATAAAGATCCTTGTCAATCAACTTTGATTGCGAGCGAGTACGCTTAAAATCACGACCATAGTTGGTCAAGCATAAGGAAAACCAAGCAACGAAACATACCGAAGTACCGCTAGAAGCAACTCCGTGTTGTTCCCGTGTAGTTTCAATCCTGATGGATATGGCTTGTGCTTGAGACCTATTTCCGATGGAAGAGCTTTGTTGGGTGGTGGATATTTTGGGCGGGATTGATACGAGCATATGGCTGACGTCGTCTATCTGCCCGGTTATGGCCTTCCGAGCATTGAGCGTAGCGAGGAAAGAGTTCGTATATACTTCGAGTATAAGTGACATCAGGATAGATCTTACCTGGGTAATCAATGTAACTTACGTCGCCCAATGCAGAAGTAGAACATTGCGTAAATCAAAGTGAGCGGAGAGGCAACGAGCTATATACTTCTCGATTAGCAACTGAAACTCTGGTAAGGCCGACACTTACGGAAATGAGCGTCGCCGTGGCAAAGATACTAAAAACAGTTTTAATGCGCAGTTTCTAGATGGGTGAAATGCTCATAGATACCTGGTCAAACTTCAGTAGCATTGACCTCAGTTTATTGTATTATTACTAAAATAGCGTTCACTTACGCTCCCGTGTTCACAACAAAAAGCATCTATGACGTGTCATGAGAAAGGAGAGCAGAGTCAATTTCAGACATGGAAAACTCACTAATCTGTTAATCAAGGTGTCTGACCTAAAAAGAGATATATATATTGAACTTGCAGCCCTCATCACCATGCAGAAAGAATTACTTTTTAAAGCCTGTTCGAGCTCTGTGAAGTATGATGCAGAGACTTGCAGTTATTAGAATGTCTGCTGAAGTTGACATTACATTGATGGCAACGGAAACCGACTGCGAGAGTGTCAGTACAGAGCTGAATACGAAATCGTAATAGACTGTACCGAGATCGATAGCAGTTCAACGAATGTGTCGAGCTGCATTCTGGAGATATCGTGTCAGTATAGTTTCGAAGCATGGACAAATAACGACCTACGCAAGAACTACCCAAGCTGGGCGATATCTGTCAGAACTTATCTACAAAAAATGACTAAAATTGCGACATACTAATGCTCACCGCTGAAAAGGAATGGAATAAAAATGAAAGAGCTTATCGTAAAAATGAAGAGGATGCCTTACCGGCATTGCCCATAATGACGATCGAAATGAAACCGGTCAAGTACTTGTTTTTGTTGCTGACTACAGACGTTATTCAATCAATAGCAACGAAAACGATATATAGGACAAGCGCACGCAACCAAACTCGCATCAAATAGAAGCTAGGGCCTTGAGTACTCCTAATGTTATGGAAAAGAAAGCAAATTCTTACCATTGAACCAAAGTAGCGGTCATGCCCTAAGGGGGAGAACCAGCTTAGATCATGCAGATTTCTAAATGTAAGAAGAACGTACCCCAAACAGAACTTCGATCTAATAACAGTATGGATATATTTCAGTCCGGGGCCAGAGTTTGGTGCAGGCATGCTTACCAGGACTGACCTGATAATGTAGAATTAGTCATAAGGGTGTCGGAAGAAGAGGGAAGGGACTGACCAAACCAAGAATTGCATTGCTTCAGGGTTGCTGTTCAGCTGCAAGTTAGAAGCTGCTACAAAAGGTTCCGAAATGGACGAACTTGTAATTAGAGACAAGGTAGTAGTAAACTGTAACAATGAATTAGTGAGAGGTATTGCACATTGTATCGTGCTTACTCATATGCGCGATTAAAGCGAGATGCACGGCATCAAGTACAGCGGTAACAGCAACCTCGAGGAAAGTCGTCTTAGGAGACTTCTAATCTTATAAGATTTTGGACACACCAGCGTTCGTAAATACCACGAATCTTTGGGGTAAGCTTGTTTCAAGGAACACAGTCAGATATATCATCTGAGAAGAACAGGATTACTGACTGATATAATAGTAGAAAGTTTGCACGAGAGATACGCCAAACAAGACCGCGCTTACAATGACGCCGATGAGCATCGAGCCCATGCTGAAAGTCTCATGTTTCGAGAAAGAAGGGGAAGATATTGAAAGAGTACTCACGACGTATGGATTTGTTCGGTCGCGCGCGCAATCAACATAGTAGATATCGGAGAACGAGTTCGCCCACGAGAACTTCACATTCACGTTGCCAACTGGTTTTTAGATGAAAAAAGACGACAGGAATTTCCTCTTGTACAGAGGTTACCAGGAACGAGTGGAGGACTAAATCAATTTTGAACCCCTAAATAGTGGCCCTGACCTTTACATATGTACTACCCTGCTTAACTGGTCACCGTACAAAGTACGGCCCTGGAATGACCCGTATCCCAGATTCGCCAGCGATACTGGAGTTCGGGTTCGTGGCAATGGTGTGCATGCCATTGAGATTGAATGTGCGTCGGAAGGCTCTCAACTTGTGAAGAAGAAAAAAGCTCATTGCCATCCTTGGAATCGAGACTCTGATCCCCGATGACATCTGGACGCTTAGTCAGCGCGATTTTCGAACTTAGTGGAGACACTATCAACGGAATCGGCCGACCTAAACTTGCTTGTTGGGGGAGGCACAGAAAACGGCGGATAGAATTTCAAATGGCCAGTCAAGTGCTCGAGCGGTGCTACACTGCTAAGTACTTATTGCTGTGATTGTATCCTCCAAGGTTTGAGCACTAGCCAGATATTTCTGGGCCTCATACATGCAACAGGTGGGCCCGCTGATCAAGGCCATCGGACATTGTTGCGTCTCTCCAAAATTCCACTAAACTCAAATTCATGATCATTTGGGGTGCTGTCAAAGAATAAATTTGTTCTCACTTTGATTCCACGGTTCATGACTTTACAAATGATCAGTGCCTTATCTCAGTAATCCCGAAATGGTTAACACAAGATGAAACGGTGGAGAGAAGCGAGCGAAACCCCCAGCTTGACACGTTACCATAAGTATGTATAAAGATCACAGTGTAACGGGTCAAGGAAATGAAATTATCTCCATTGACTTCAAACATCTTAGAAGTTGGTCTGGACAGCTTGTGCAACAAGTAGCAGTGACTAAGCGCCACGCACCTCTAGTTGTGAGGGGACGATACGCCGAACTCGATCCCCATCAAGACCCTCTCGAATTTTCTATTTTGACTTGTAAGTACTTACTTATGATATTCTTGGTCAACGGTCAAATAAATTCTCTGGGTTATGTTCATTTTTTTGACACTGCGGAGACTCAGAAAGTTCCATGAATTGTGATTGAGACCTGGATATCCTTGTTTTGATGCGATTATCACCACGGAGGCATTGTCGCAGTGAACTACATCATATCGGATATGGTGTAACGGCTAACATTGCCGCCTCTCATTCGTAATTAACGGACCGCGGCAGCTCGGGGTTCGATTCCCCGTATCCGAATCTAGAAATGATAATTGTTTTGTCTTCAATTCAAACTTATACTATCATTGGGCTAGATATGAAACGTGACCCAGATTTGAAATGGCGCACTTTTGATCTGATTTTCTTGCCAAATATCTTGAGTAACGCTATACATATTGTCTATGAGTTTACCAGCTCGGACTCTGTATACATGAAACTAGAAATAAGTGGCAAAAATAAAAGTTGTGAAGATGGCTTAAATTTCCGATTCCTTGTCTTGTCAGATGAATCTGAGTCCAGCTCTCTCAGCAAAAGAGACTCAGGTATGAGAAAATAATATCAGTCAATCTGTCATAGTTTCAACATGTAATGTACACGGGAGGGGTAGAAACAAGCTTCGAACAATGGTAGGCATGGATTTGCGTGACAAGATTTAAATCTTGGTGCTCAGCGCATCAACGGCATCATTGCGGAATCTGAAATGGCAGGGTCACACACCTGTCACGTTTCATTTCATGTCAAAAACGACCCTCTCATCGGGATGTTTCCCATGACGACCAAAAAGGCCAAAACCCAAGATATCCATACATAGGATACTAGAGATGGAAGCCTCCAATTTTCTAAGAAATCTATAAAATAATCAGAATCCAAAGTCATCCGAAATCTCATTTCACGTCAAACTACGGAACACATAGGTGATGTAATTATCTTCAGCTGCGCACCTAACCTCATCCTAGTGGCGACAAGCGCCAGTCCCCAACTCTCATGCTCATGTCACAGTAACTGCTACTGAACAAGGTTTCCTTCTGTGCAGACTACAGGTCAAATTGTACACATATGTGGTCTATTAGTGCTAGCAACTTCAAGGCAGAAAGGTGCATTCCAGTACAAATAGAAGAAAAATATCTATTCAAACAAAATGCAACAACTGATCATGCCAATTCATTTTACAGGGGCTTCAGAAAGACATGTCCATGTGCCTGTGCACATCTGAGGAAATTAAAAAAAAAAAAGAAAAAATAATCAAAAACTCTAAAAAATTCCTTTACTATGAGATTCAGCTTTTTTGAAAATCTACAGCACTCCTTTAGATCATACAATGTCTCTAGATCAGGATTCCAACCCTCTCCTTGTTTTTTCAGACTCCCCAACACCACTAGTCGACAATCTTGACACCTCTTCATCTGATGAGTCAGATATCACCCTAGTGAAGCCCACCATGTTTTGTGTATCAAAGCAGGTCTTGCAAGGCTCAAGGAACAACACCCCATCATGGAAGGACAGGAAGTTAAGACAGAAAATGATACAGAGCCATCACTTCAAGGTCAGTCCATGTCAGCCATAGCAAAGTTCAAGCATTATTCATCCAAACAGCTGGGGCCAAAGCTCAATGACTGAGATCATGAAAATCAAATTTGAAGGCTTTGTGAGAAGAAACATGTGCCAAGTCAGCTTGAACTCAAAAACACAAAATCTTATGAGAAAATCTTGTTCTGGGAGCATTTGTAAGAGCTTGTAAGAGAGGCCAATTTCATGTAAGTTGTTATGTAATGCAATAGTTCAAATGGCCAGGTTATGATATAGTGCCACTGGCAGCCACTCTTTGATTTCATTGAGGTAAAGTGTCAGTGATTCCAAAACAAGTTCCAGGAGATCTTGTATTGCTTCAGGCCTCATTATTTGTGGTCTACCTCAAAGCATTGAAGGTGGTTTAACATGTTCATGAGTCTCATAGTTGTCAGACCAACAACCAATTGTCGTGACCCGCTATCAACCTCCAGAACTTAGCCCTGGCCCCAGGACTCCAACCTCCTCCAACCCACCTCCACAACTGTCCCAGGCCCAGACTGCTACCTGACCAGCCACCTTGGCAGCCCCCAGCCATTACTGCCTGTCACCACCACCAGCCACTGCCACCCCCAGCATCCCTCTGGCCATCACCGCCCACGACCACCACATCAATGCCAACTCCAGCCATCTGCAATGCTTCCCCAACTGCAGCTGCCATATCAGCGCTGGTGCCAGCAACCCCCAGCGCTCCCCCTGGCCCATGCCAAGACCTCCATCATGCATCACAACCACACATTACTGTTGATCCAACCTCTGCATGCCATGCCCCACTTCTGCTCACCTCCTCACCTCCTCACCACTACATGTTTCTGTGCTTCCAAAGCAAGACCTTCTATGCCACACAACATGTCTCAATTGCTACCACTGCCTTGCGCAATCCTTGGGTCTCAACTTGAGCCCCAGTGCTGCAACTGTGATGACCACAACTCCTGCAATAGAAGTGATCTACCAACTGGGCTAAAAGGCCACAATGTCAAGCCTGGCTTGACATGTTGCAGGCACTATTTAAGCAGTATCCAGTGTCATGATGCCGTGATCATGACAGTGCCCTCTCTTTAAGCATCGAGCCCTCGAGATGACT